CCTCTCCGTTGAAACTTTTTCCAGTGGGAAGGAATAGCTGGGGGAGAAGGGGTCACCCCTGTACAGCTGTTACATACTCTGATTTCTTAACTGAAATAAACATCCTGTCTCAGATACAACCTTGTCAGTCCCAGTCTCCGCTTGCACTTACCTAGGGAAATCTTAACATAAGAGAGTTCTAAGGAGATGTAGGCAATTCGGGTTGGGGTTAGGTTAGGTGTCCCAGTGGACAAATTGTGGGACTTGGAGTCAAGAAGACCTGAGTTCAACTCCTGCCTTAGACATTTAGTAGCTGCTGTGTGAGCCTGTGTCTCAGTTTACTGATTGCAAAATGGGGATAAGAACATCTGCTTCACAAGGCTGTTGTGAAGATCAGTGTCAACATGTAAAGCATTTTGCAAACCTTTAAAAAACAACTAAGTAAATGTTAGTTATTATCAGACAGGAACCCTGTAGTCTGTGTTTTCTGTATTTATGCTGTCTTTTCTGTGTTCCTGACAGCATAGTGTGGAGTCAAGTTGTCTTCTCTCTTAATGCTGTTTGCACCTAGAAATTCTTAGGAAAAAGAAAATTGATTTTAAACCTGCATGAAAGTCTTTGCTGACCTCAATTCATGGCTCTCTTCCCAAGATTATCACAGAACCTTTTGCTTCCCTTGTATCCTTGTACAGATAGATTGTACCTTGATTCCACTTACTTTGGGGGTGGACTTGAGACCTTGACTCCTTTAATTCTTTTTAGTTACGAAGTCCTTTAGCAGTGTTCACTCTGTGGTCTCCCAGGTAACTGGGACTGGGAAACCCAGGGCAGTGTATTGAAGGTTACGGGACGCTTGTCTGGCTCGGCCGCTTACTACTGTATGATATTGCTTTTATGATTTTTTTAAGGTCTCTTCCAATTCATTAGCTCCTCGGCCCCTGCTCCTGCCTTTCCGTAGGAGTCGTACCTAGGGTTGGGTTTTCCCGAGAGAGGAGCCCCTCCCATTTCCTCCCTCCCCGCCCTGGGACTAGAGGCGGGAAGGTCACATGCTGGAAGAGCGGGCCGCCCCTCAAAATAGCCCACTAGATTTGGATCCTTCTCTCCACTCCACTGCCCCCTACGTGTACTACACGCCCCACAGCTTCTCGGGGCGCAGGCCAAGCGCCGTAGTTTGGTCACCCCAAACCCGGAGTACCACGCGCAGCCGCTGTTGTTTTCCCTTTTTCCCAAGCCTCTTCCGCCCCTCCCCTCCCCCACCGCAGGCAACGTGCGAAGCTTCGCCATCGCTCATCTTTGCCCCCGGAAGTACTTACCCACGAGTCAGGAAATGACGAAGGCCCTGAGGCCTGTAGGAGGGCTGAAGTGAGAAGGAAGCGGAGGTAGGTAGGGAGGGGCTGGGGGGCCTGGAGGTCTAGTCCGAGACTTTCGGACCCTGGTCGCGCCTGCGCAGAACGGGGTCACTCCTGGTAGCTGCGGGACAAGTGGGGAGGGTGGGGAACCCAGTGTGGCACTGGACCCCAACCCCGTTGGCTGGAGCAGGTGATGGGCTGGAGGGGGTGGCGGGGCGCCTGACGGGAGAAGCACGTGACCCGCCCCACACGCCCCAGCGGTGTCGCCTCCAGAGCCCCGATGCTCTCTGCGGCCCCGCCCTCCGGCCCCACCCGCCTTCGGAACCCAGCGGACGGAGCCGGGTCCGGGGCAGGGGTGGGGTGGGTCGGAGAGGGGCGAGAACAGCCTCGCCCTCTCCGAGGAGCAGGACGCTCAGGCCTTCCCTCCCCCGGCCGGATTGCCAGTGGAGCCTGGTTTTCCCACCTCATTTCTTCAGGGTGGTGGGGAGGGCTCTCACGTCCCCCTTCCGCGAGTGGGAGCCCTTCTACACCTCTGTGATAATGCTTATCCCCCAATAAACCAGATTTCTGCTGGGTGACTAGATTCATTTCTGGGACTGGATTGTCAGTGATCAAGTCTCAGCACTTCAGTCTGTGACAGCACCCTGCGGGTCACCATGCCGGCCCTTCTGGAACGCCCCAAGCTGTCTAATGCCATGGCTAGGGCATTGCATCGACACATAATGATGGAGCGGGAGAGGAAGAGACAGGGTGAGTGAGGGTGCTAGCTAGCTCAGGGTTCCAAGGGAGCAGCAACACATTTCAATCCCAGACTGAGCTTTGCATGTTAGAGATGTGTCTCCTAGATATATCGGTGGGAAAGGGGGGGAAGGAATAAGCAGCCTTGCAAGAAAGGTGCAATTATTCTCATTTCACAGTTGAGGCAACCCAGGTAGACAGGTTAAGTGACTTGTCCAGGGTCACATAGCTGAGAGCTTCTGAGGCCTGCCTTCAAGACCACTGCCTCAAGTTGTCGATTCCCATAGTCATAGGACCTTGAATTGTGGGGTCACCTTCCCTGTCTAGGCCTATTTTCTGTGTTTAAAATGAGGGCTTGGTGTCTGAGATCCCTTCTAGCTTTAAGGTTTTAACCCCATGCCCCTCCCCCAGAGGAAGAGGAGGTAGACAAGATGATGGAACAGAAAATGAAGGAGGAACAAGAGAGGAGGAAGAAAAAGGAAATGGAAGAAAGAATGTCACTGGAAGAGACCAAAGAACAGGTAAGCAGATTTTTACACACACACACACACACACAAATCTCTTGTTCTTTACTCACCCTGCTCCCCGATTCCATTCTGGCAGACCTCCTTTCACTGTCTCCATGATCCTCCCAGATCCTTAAATTGCAAGAGAAGCTCCTGGCCCTACAAGAGGAGAAACACCAGCTCTTCCTGCAGCTCAAGAAAGTTTTACATGAGGAGGAGAAAAGGCGGCGTAAGGAGCAAAGGTAGGGACATGGAGGGAGATAGGGCCTAGACTAAGGTATGGCTTTGTGAAAAGAGAACCTAGTATTGAAAAGAGGAAGAATGCACCCAGGTTCATGTCTTAACTATGTATGCCACCTACATAAATCTTAGATGGTCTGATTTTAATTTTTTAAATTTAATTTCTTTGGATCTCAGTTTCTTCATCTGTAAAACTTACAAGGCTCCTTCCAGTTTTAAATCTATAATTTTTGATAGTAAGTCTTTGATCTTACTTCCCCTTCAGTGACTTGACAACACTTACATCTGCAGCATACCAACAAGGTCTGGCTGTGCACACAGGGACACATCTTCTCAGCATGCAGGGTGAGGTGGACAAGGGGAAAGGTTGGGGCTAGTTTGGGCAAGGATCATGGAGGTGGTTTGAGACCTCCTGAGAGCCTGCACTCTTCTGAATCTCACACCCCATCATAGGCAGTCCTGGAGGACACAGCAGACCTGGAACTCTTATGTCTGCTGATAGGGCCAAGCAGATGTTTGGACCCCAAGTGCTTACGGTAAGCAGACAGGGATCCCCAGCATTTTAACAACCAGTGTCATTTAATGTGCTATGATGAAGGTAAAAATATCAATGTAACCTCTCCTAATTATATTATGGAGTTGTGATTTATGTTAGAGGTAGATGAGGTGATGGACTTGGGATAACATCTTACACTTCTTGTGTAACCCTAGCAAGACATTTAGTCTCTCTGAACCTGTTTCCTCATTTTAAAAATACGGAAATGTATATAAATTGGTAATTGCCAGCTATCAAAGTCAGATAATTTATCCTTCATTGTAACAGCATTGTATTTAGCTTGTACCTAATATTTGAACACTTTCCAATCTTAACTCTCCCCATCGTTTCTAGACCCGTCATTTTGTGGGGTCAACAGCTTTTGCAGGAACCTCAGAACACGGGCAATTCCAGAGCAGTCCAGGAGGGGCCTATGGGGCAGCCCAGCCCCCACCTCACTATGGACCTACCCAGCCGGGCTATAGTCCCAGCCAACAGCTCAGAGGTGAGGGCAAACAGAACTAGAAGTGGGAATGAAATGAATGGGCAGGAGGCAGTGAAGGTTTTTGCAAAAATTTGGCTTGTGGGTGTGACCTCTTCTCCCCTTAGCCCCTTCAGCTTTTCCTGCTGTTCAGTACTTGTCACAACCTCAGCCACAGTCCTATGCAGTACACGGCCACTACCAGCCTGCACAAACAGGTAATGCCACTTGTGGATCCTTCTAAGCTGTTCCCTGACTTGTTTTTCTTTTTCCTGTACTCATACTGGATTGATTCCTCTTGTTCTAGGGTTCCTGCAACCTGGCAATGCCCTGTCCCTTCAGAAGCAGTTGGAACATGCTAACCAGCAATCTGGCTTCTCTGATTCGGTGAGACTCTATTCTCGGGGGTGGTTTTATAGGAAAATTTGAGTAATCCTGAAATGCTGACCTATTGTCATGTGTTACAGTCCTCTCTGCGCCCCATGCATCCCCAGGCTCTACACCCAACCCCTGGGCTTTTAGCCACACCCCAGCTTCCTGTACAGATGCAACCATCAGGAAAGGTGAGGATTCAAGTGGGATTCAGACTTTCTGAGAATGGGGGTTATTGACACTAACAACTTTCTGTTTTGCTCACAACAGTCAAGCTTTGCAGCCACCAGCCAACCAGGCCCCCGTCTCCCTTTTATTCAGCACAGCCAGAACCAACGTTTTTATCACAAGTGACTTGACTCAGGGCAGTGTCCTGCCTCCCCAGTTCTCCAACTAATAAAGTTAAAACTGCCACTAGAGCCTGTTTCCTGCTGTCTGAATTGTCCCCAGTCTTGCCCATTTGGTGTCAGGAATCCTGGTGATAAAAAACCTTAAGAAAGTAAACTAGGTCTCCCCTAGAAGAAGTATATGAAACTTGGGCAGTCATATTAAACTTGTAGTTTTATTCAGGTTTGATTTTTAACAAATGTGTCAGGGAGAAAACCGCAAGGAGGGGTAGGGCCCATGGGTGCTAGGGGCCCTCCTGGATGCCTGAGGAGGGGAATACAGCCCCCTACCCACTCCTGTCCCTTCTCCCACTAAAGAGATTTGGGGTAGATGGGGCACAGGCAGATGGGGGGGGTCTGGTCCCCTGCTGGAGGAGGGAGTGGTGCTAGGTGAGGTATAGGGAACCAGGGGGCCAGACAGGATAGGTAGGGAGAAAGGGCAGAGGATTTTTGCCAGAATCCACAGCTTTCTGCTTCCAGATTGAATAATAAAAAAGAAAAAAAAACTAAATCTCAAGGAGCCCCCGTCCCCTCTCCCCCACCAGGGCTGTAGTGTGAGGTGGGGGAGAGAAGGGGGCAGTTTTACCAAGGCCCTGCCCCCATCTCGTCCAAGGGGTTGGGAGAGATAGGGCTGGACTAAAGGGGTGGGGGTGGGGGGAGCTCCCCGGATTGAGAGAAAAAAAAACCAAAATAAAACATCAAAGAAATAAGAGTAGACGTCCAGCCAGGGTGGGGCCAAAGCCTGACCAGGCTGGGGAGGAGAGGGAAGGCCTCTTCAGGTGCCGATCGCTGCTGCTCCTGCAGCCACCACCACCCTGAATACAGAAAGAAAAGATTAGGACAACCACTACACAACCTGCAACATAGATGAAATTACAGCAAAGGACTTGGGGTGGGGGTAGGGAGGACCAACAGGCAAAGAAAAAGGGTTCTACCCACCTGAGGGCCAGTTACTTTGCCATGGCCTTGATTGCAACAGCTGCTTCCTCTGTCATGGCTGACAGCACCGTTATCTGTAGGAAAAGGGATCAGGGTCTAAACTCCTCACCTTAAGATTATAAGCATTGGAATTGCAAAACAAGGGTAAAAATGGGAGATGAGGACTTACCAGGATCTCTTCTCCACAATCATACTTCTGCTCAATCTCCTTGCCAAGGTCACCCTCAGGTAAGCGAAGGTCCTCCCTCACCTCCCCACTGTCCTGGAGCAGTGACAGGTAGCCATCCTGAATCCCAATCAGCTAGGGACAGAATAAGGGATAGGCAATCAAAACAATTCTCATTCTACTTTCCATCATGAATCCCACCCCTTACTTGGCCTGACTTTTCTTCCACATCTCTTTACTTCAAAATCCAGCACTTCTGTTTCTCATATTGAAGCTTCCCCAAAACCTAGGTGCTCTGGTTCAACCCCTTTCCAAATACCTGGAAATCATTTCTCTTGATATTGGGCACATCCATGTTGTGGGTTGAAGGGCAGATATCTTCATATTTCTTCCCAGTAAAGATATCGATACCAACCAGATGAACCTGGATATGTATATATATACATATATGTATGTATGTGTATCATGTTAAGAAGGAAATCAGCAATTTCTGACATGGGGAAGGAGACAGCTACAGATTCCCTCCTTTCCCAAATGCGGCGGACTCACAGCAGTGAGAAGTAATGGTCCCAAGAAGGGAAAGGGGCAGAGAGATAGGCATACAGAGACAAAAATAGGTGGCACCAAGGTTAACAAGAGTAACTAAACAGGGAAGGAGAAAGAACCAAAAACTAAGTATGTTTAAAGGGCACAAGGAATCAAGAGTCAGAAGGATAAGAGACCTGGACACTTGGGAAAGAATGTGTTTCCAGAAGACCGGGAAATGAAATGGAAAGGGGTAGAGTTTGGGACAGATACAGATAGTCCTCAACTTCCAAGGGCAGGAAAAATGACCACCAGGAGGCAAAAAACTGAAGAGCCTACTCTAAACAGGCTATGTCTGAGGGTGTTAAAGGAATAGGAAGGAAAGCAGGGAGCTGGGCATAGATATGGAGAGACTGATAAAAAGAAAAATTACAGGACTTACGTGAGAAGAATGATACTGGGGCAAGTCTACACTGAACAGGCTCAGTTATCAAAGACAGGAGCTAGCTTTTCAGAAGCAAAAGTAGGGTGAAGACATAAGTAAACGAGGACAAAAACCCTGGAATTTCAGCATATATTGGACATAATGTTCCTTTAGCTCGTTCTTACCCTGGACAAAACATACATCAGAGGGAAGGTTGCATCTAGGATAGAGAAAAGGCTAAACTACTCAAGTAGGCAGAAACAAAGAATCTAAATAGAGTTTAAGGCGTAGGGAAAACAGGAAATGAGAGGAAGCTAGGAACCCAGGGTAAAGAATAAAAGAGGCTACTGAATGAAGCCAAATGGTGGAAAGAGATTGTCAGAGGAGCCCAGAGGTTGAAAGTGACAGGAAGGTCAAGGTGGAAGAGCAGAAATGCAGAATACTGAAGTACTGGTTGATTAAGAAGCCAGAAAGGCAAGGTTGAAGTCATCACAGATCTAGTAATCTGGTACAGAAAGCAGTTTTGGGAAAAACTAAGAGCCAAAAAGAGGCAAGCTATAATGCATATAAGCAGGCCAGGAAGCAAAAGACAAAATGAGGAAGGGAGTTTCTGACCTTGGCATGGCCATGCTTTCCAGTCTTGGAGGTGGACATCTCAACTATCTTACAGGGCCGGCCTTTGAGCACCACAAAGCCATTCTTGCGCAAGGCAGAGCACTGCATGGGAAAGGTAGCTGATGCCCCTGCATCCCCCGTCTCGAAGTCCAGGTCATCTGCCATTTTGAGAGACGTCTATTCCAACTGAGAGGGGGAGGAGAGGAAAAGGGTGTTATTAATAGTTCTTTAAGGCTGGATATGACTGTTCCCCCAATGATACCCTAATTCCTGGATCTTATGAAAGGCCAGGAACTGGCAGGGCAGAGGAGACAGAACAGATAACTGTGTATCTAAACTGTGGAGGATAAAAGATTTAGAATAATACTTATAGAGTCCCAGAAAAGAAAAATCCTTTCTCCCATTTGTCATCCCCCCCCCTCCAAAAAGGGAGCCAGGGCTATAATTAGTTAAAGAGCTCTGAGCAACTGGGTGGAGTTGGGCTAATGCTAGGGGACTGGGTGGAGATCCAGAGCTCAGGGCTCCACCCACAGTTGTCACACACACACACACACACACACACACACACACACACACACACACACACCCACCACCACCTTTACACCTACCACTGGTACAGGAATCCACAAGGCACCTTAGCCAGGGAGATTCCCAGCCACCCAAACCTAAGCTACCAGTTTTTGTCTGGGTAAGGGGAGAAAGGAAAAGGTCCACTCACCCTCTGCCAAACAACCAGTCACAGCTCCCTCAGGAAACCCAAATACCAGGCCTCCCCCAGGGGCCCTCCCACTTTTCCCAGCATGCACCTGCACTGCAATAGGCCTCAGGCCCAGGCGGCACATGGGGTAAGTTTGGGGTTACAAATCCAACCGAAGGGCTAGTCTAGCTGTGGTAAGTTAAGGTTTCACTGAATATATTCAAAGAGATAACAGGGAGAAGAAAGTTGGAGACAGGAGAAAACCGTGTGACCATCTGGAAAACCGTGTGGCCATCTGGAAAACCGTGTCATGTTTGAGAACTCAATAAAGGTTACAAAGTACTACCCAAAATTAGTAAGGGAAGATACTTTTCTGCCCCACTCCTCTTTATATAATGCAAATAGATTAAGTTTGCCATGGGCTGAAGGAGTAAAGCCATCTCCCCTCAAATCCTTTCCTTCCATCACTGAAATAGTCTCTTCCTTATGCCTCCTTCCCCCTACCTTCTCCAATTTCTGGGATAGTTCTATTTAAATCCAATTCCCTCACTCCAAAAGAGAAAGGGGGTAGGTAATACAACAGGACGGTATGAGGCCTAAGTGGCAGAGTTAACATATGCTAACAGGAGCCCGTCCAATCTACTTTATATACTAGTGCTGATATTAAGACCAAGCCTGATTGCCAATTCGGACCTCTTAATTTTATCTCATATACCTCCCCCTTTAAATGTTCCCCCCTCTGCTTATCCTCTGAACCCTCACTCAGGATTTTGGGGGATGGGAAAATGGCCTGCCTTCCCCCTTACCCTCCCTTTGGTGCCTCCCTACCCTGGGCCCCTCACCCCTCTGTTGGAGGCCTCAAACCCACGATGCGGCAGAGTCCTAGCCACCTCCATGGGGTCTCCCCCTCTGCCTTGGATTTCCTGCCCCCTCCCTCACGACCTAACCTAGGCCATGTGGCCTTACAGTCCCCCTTCCTCCCACTCAGAGCCACCTTCTCCAGCAGAGGGAAACCGAGGGATTTCCCCCAACGCCCCCCCAAATTCAACTTCCTGTACCCCAGAAGCCCCTCCCCCAAGTCTCAGCTCTCCTATGCCTTTTCTCCCCGCATGCCCCACCACGGCCCTCACGTGCCCAACCCCCGACCCTGAGAGCAATCCCTCCCCCATCTCACGTGTCCGCGTGGGGCAACTCCAAATCTCTCCCCAGGTCCCAGTCCCAACCCCAACGGTCCCGCGTGGCTCATTCTCTCCTCCTCCCCCCTCCGACTCACCCACGTGGTCTCATTCCCTCCCCATCCCGCGAGACGAAACCAATCTCCGGGTCCCCTCGTGGTCTTCTGCTCCAGGTTCTCCAGCGTGGCGGCCCCGCGCTCGCCGTTCAACCTTCCCCCAACACCCCCCCCTTCACCCTGCGTCGCGCCAACGTCACCCGCCCGGACCGTAACCGCCGCACCACGCGCCAGACCCGCAGGGCGAGCGCGCGCTCCCGCCCTTTCCTTCGCGCTCTTACCCCAACCCTCCCTTCCCAGTTCGGGCCCCGCGAGGCGACCGCCTGCCCTTCCCCTCCCCCGCCTGTCCGCTGGCCCCTCCGTTCCACTCCATTCCATTCCCTCCTCTCAGCCTCCCCGACTGGAGCATTTGCGCACGCGCGTACTACCCGCCCTCACCTCGTGCGAACGTACCGACTGGACCCCCGTCCGCCCGCCGCAAGCTCAACCGCTACCGCCAAGCCTACTGCTGCTGCTGCCGCCGCCGCAGACGCCGCCGCCGCCGCCGCCGCCGCCGCCGCCGCCGCTACCGCCGCCGCTGCCGCTGCACACGGGTCCTAGTGCGCAGGCGCTGGCTCCCCACTGACCAACCAAGCAGCCGCCTGACAGCCGCGCAGGCGCTCTCCCCTTCTCCCCCCACCCCCTCCGCGCTCCACCCCCGCACTACGCAGGCGCACCGGTTCACTCCCCGCTCCTCCCCTCTCCCACCCACCCATCTATCGATTAATGCGCTTGCGCATTCCGTTTCTCTGAAGTTCCCCTGTACTCCCAACCCTCGAACAACGCGCAGACGCATTTCATCCCCACCCCCCACTCCGCGTTCTCTCCTAAAGCCTCTCGCCAAACCAGGTAGCCCCTGCGCCTGCGCAATGAGCCTCACTTCTCGCCACACCCTCCTAAGTCCGTGCCTTCAGAGCGCATGCGTATTAGGCCGCCCACTCCTTCCTTTGCCGACGTCGCCAGTAAGCTTGCGCGTTGGAAAGACCTCGCCGCTCCAGCTCCGGTAGCCTCCAGAGAACGCCCCACCCAAGCTTCACCACTGCTGTTATTGCGCATGTGCATCAATCAACCCGCAGTGTACCTCCTCCCCCTCCCTTGCCCCCGCCGAAACCGAGTAGCTTGGGTGTCAGACTTGCGTACCAAGTCGCTTTCCAGTCTGTCTTCTTGAGTCGTCAGTGCGCGTGTGCGCGACGAAATCTCGCTTCCCAGCTTCCCAGTTCCAGCTTCTTCACCCCCGACCTACCATAGAGTTACAATCAGAGGCTAGAGTGAAACGGCCTCCGGCCACCATCTTGTTTCAAAGACCCTTAAACAGTTTCTATGGCAACTATGAAGGCCTTTCCACTCTGAGTATTACATAAATGTGTGAAGAGATTAAATTCACGACCGTAAGTGAACTACACATCCTGCCTTGTCTGTGAAAGCAGGTCTAGAGATCCTCTTTGGAAAAAAATTTTCTTTACAGAAGATAATAGTTGAATCTATGAATTGCTACAAGTACTTTGGAAAGCAATCTAGAATTATGCAAAGTGACTAAAATTAGTCCATACTCTTTGGCCCAGAAATTCTGCTGTAAAACGTGTACCCCAAGGAGATCAGTGACAAAAAGAAAGGCCACATATACACCAAAGTGTCTGTGGTGGTACTCTCTAGTAGCAAAGAACTGTCGCCAATCAATTGGAGAATAGCCAAATTGTGGTACATGAATATAATACACTGTGCTGCAGTAAACAATGAATGTGATAAGAAGCAGGTACAGACATATGAACTGATGCAAAGTGAAATAAGTAGTACCAGGAAAACAATACGAAAGGACTATAACTATGTAAATGGAAAGAATAACAAAATTGACTGCTGTAGGATTGTAAAGATTAAGCTTGATATTTCTTTGTATATCAACTGGAAAATGGCTGGGGAAAAAATAGTATATGAGTGGGCTAGAATACTATTATTGTGCTGTAAGAAATGGTAAAGGGGATGCTTTCAGAGAAAACTGGGAAGACTTATGAATTGAAAAAGGAATGAAGTGAGCAGAATGAGGAGAACAATTTATATAATAACGGTACTGTAAAGACAACTTTAAAAGAGTTAAGAAATCTGACCAACCATAATTATAGAGGACTAATGATTAAAAATGATATCCCTGTCTTGACAGAGAGGTGATAGATTTATGGTGCAGGTTGAGGCCTTTTTCAGGACAAAGCCAATGAAAGAATTTGTTTTGCTTTATTTTGTGTATTTATTACAAGCATCTTGATTTTTCTTTCTTTTCCAGTGTGTGTATGATCAGAAGAGGGCAGATTTTTGTTAAATGAGAAAAAAATTAATTTAAAAAGATACCTCTCTTTCCTTTGCAGCAATGGGAGATGATGGGTGTGGGATTTTGCATGTCAGATTTTTTTGATGTGTTGTTTATACAGTACTCCTTTCTCCACCCTTTGGAGCATGCTCAGTTGGCATTCAGATCATGGAAACTTGGGGTAAATATGTTTCCAGAGATATACACACACACACATCAGGGAGGCACTCTTGTTGTGTCCCAACATTTCAAGGCAGGCTTAGATATTCCCTGAATGTCAGTCATGATGATTAATGGGCTTCATACTGTGCAGTGACAAAAAAGTTTTTAGATTGGCTGTTGGCCCAAAACTTGTAGATATACTAAAGTGGAAATCTGAGTTAAGTCTTTCAGAGTTTTTTGTCTTTATCATATTGTTATTGTATAAAACACTGTCCTGGTTCTGTGCACTTATTTCTATATCAGGACATGCAAATCTCAGACCTCTTCTCTTTGCCAGTCTTGAAGTATCAGGATGACTTTCTGGGCTCTGCAGTGGGTCAGGTGGGGTGGGTACACTTCCCCCATTTCCTTGAAATTCCTGAGCTCATGAGCCTTTGACACGAGCTTAAACTGGGATAGGGCTGCCTCCCATTTGTGTTCTTTGTTTGACTTTTGGTGCCGGTCCACCTTCCTCTTCCAAGGCACCCACGCAGCTAGGTAGCCAGTCCTGGAGCAGTTGGGGCTAGAATAACAGTAGACACAGACTAGCCTAAAGGAGAGAGAGAGAGATTATCAGACAAAAAGTTTCCAGTTAGGGTTGGTATATTATTAATCAATGCAAGTGAAATATAAAATTGCTTTAAAAATAAAGTCCTAAAAAAATCTGTTTTCAAATGTCACTTCTCAAGTGACTCTCAACCTTTTCAAATGATTATTACTTAACATTCCTTGTTCCATAAGCTGATTCCTACCTCTTTGCTGGAGAGGACACCTTAGACTAAATGAAAAAATAAAAGTGTTCCTCAGATTTGAGTTTGGAATGGAATTGAAGAACGGGACAGCTGTGGTGAGGTGGGGGGAAGGGGGTGTAGTTCCTCTATTAAGAAGATAGGCAGAAAAAAAACAAAAAGAAGATAGGCAACTCCAGAGTGAAGCCAAGGCAAACCATGAGGACAGGTACAGGCCAGGAAATGGTAAAAGTTGCCAACCATCAGCTGAGCACAGCCCATGTTAAATTCAGCTTTTAACAACTCTTCTTTCTTGATTCATAAAAGAGATAGCTCTCTGTAAGGGGAGGGAGAAATACTATAGTACATATAGGTGATATAAAAAAAAAAGTTATCAATAAAAAATTTACTTAAAATATGCAATTTTTGTAAGAAATCCCTTTGCCCCTCTCTTCTTACAGACGTTCCAGCTGGCAAGAGTTTCTTGCTCAGCTGTTTGGAGCCATGTGATTTGGCAAAGTGAACAGTTAACATTAGAATGGGATCTCTTGCCCCATAGGTCAATAAGACTCTGACACATCCACTGGGCTGGTGGCTGAAATATAGTGCCACCTGGTGGACAAACTATAGCACTCCACTGGTTAATTAATGAAATGACACTGTAGATTTACAGATTACCTAGAAGCAGAAGGGGGCTGCCATTGCTACTGCAGCACCTCAAGTGTCACACCTCTAAATACACAAACAGCCTCCACCTATGGTACGTGTGCTTTTACCATCTACTTCAATTAATCAAAGGCAGCTAGGTGGCACTGGATCTACTTGACGTTGTTGTGAGGAAAGCAATTTATCTTCAAATGCTGTGTAAGTGAAAGCTATTTTTTCCTCTCAGTTTTTATTTCAATTTCAAGTAGTAGACCATTCATTCAAGTATTTTAAGAAGTTAGTTTCATAGGGGCAGCTAGATGTGGCAGTGGATAGAGTGCTGGGCCTGGAGTCAGGAAAACCTAAGTTCAAATCTGGCTTCTGACACTTAGTAGCTGTGTAACCCTGAGCAAGTCACTTAACCTCTGTTTGCCTTAATCCATTAGAGAAGGAAATGGCAAACCATTCCAGTATCTTTGCCAAGAAAACCCCATGGACAACAATTGGCATGCTATGGTACATAGGATCATGAAGAGGCGGACAGGACTAAATTTCATAGTCATGTAGAGTGGAGTGACTAGTTTGGATGGCTGTAATTAGTGGATGGGGGCAGTTAGGTGGTGCACTGGATAGAGCACCAGCCCTGGATTCAGGAGGACCTGAGTTCAAATCCGGCCTCAGACACATAACACTTACTAGCTGTGTGACCCTGGGCAAGTCACTTAACCCCATTGCCTAGCCTCCCCCCCCCAAAAAAAAAGTAGTGGATGAATTCTGGAGTGTCAGGAGTTCTCTGGAGTTCCAGTTTACCACCATTGTCCCATTGCTCTCATGGGATCCAGTGGTCATTTCTTATACAGTTCTGCTACCTGGGAAGGGTACTGATGTGTCTGTGATTACAGGACATTTAAATCTGCTGAACAAATCCAACAGAGAAGTGCTAGGTTTTATTGATGTGTTGGAGTATGGCTAAATAGAGGCTCAGGCAATGTAGGCTTTGGTGATCTCTGCCAAGGTTTCTCTGTAAGCAAAGTTCAATTTCAAAGAGGATTTAGAATCTATTGCTTAAAAAAAAAAAGCTGGTCCAAGCTCACCTCTGCCACTGATATATAAGCCCCAACATTCCTTTCCTCCTGGCTAGCTTTCATCAGACAGTCTAAGATTCTGTCCTACCTATAGTCAACCATCCAATTTTAAAACAGTGCCTTACTCCAAATTATGATATATCTTTATCTGTCTGTCTATGTATTTATCTATCCTTAGTCTACATTTGTTTTCTGGGTACTGGGAAGAAGGGAGGGTATTGATGGGCAAAACTTTGTCTATGAAATTGGGAAGCTTTTCAGATGATAGGGGAGAAATGGTCCCATTTCCCACCCTCTGACTCTCAAGGGCCTTAAAGTCTAATGAAAAGAGGCACAAGTTAGAATACAGATAGGAGTCAGAGAAGAACAAGAACAATTGTATTGTGGCATCTTCTTCACCAAGTTGGATATTGGCAACTAACTCTTTGAAACTGGTGGGTAGGCTCAGTTGAATGCTGCCGTGACCCAATACCCTCTCTTTGTGACCAGTACCCAGGGAGAGAAAGCTCAGATTAGTACTATGGAAGTGATTCATATAGTGGAGAAAAGAAAAATTAGAGTGGGGGGAGAAGCACAGTAGATTGTGGAACTCTGGATAGAAAACCCAGCCTCATCCCAATACTTTTCCTTCCTTTCCTTGTTTCTACTCCATTGCCCAGATCTGGGATCCCAAATAAATATCTCTTCCCCCTTATTTCCTTCCCATGATTTGTGAGTGAGAGCAATTTGGGAATTCTTTGGTCTCACCTGAAGAACTGAGAGGTTAAGTGGGAGGCAGAAGGGTCCATGTAGGAACATTTAACATTTCCCTTTTTATTTTCAGTATGTCCAGTGTGGATATAATATGATGAGTACCTATGTCTTGTGAATGTAGGGTGAGAGAGGAGGTCTGAGGTGGTGCGGGATGAAGCCTAGAGCTCTAGTTTTCTTGTTTTAATAATTTTGAGCAACATTCAATATTCCAAGAGAAAGGTGATCTTAGTATAGGTTGAATCTGTACCACCCCATCTTGTATACCTCTGCACAGATGTCATAGAATCATATACATCAAATTCCAGGTGCCAGTGCTGCACCTTCAGAAGCCATAACAAGGATGATGGCAGTGAGGTAGGATAAGGAAGAAGTTTTATTCATTTGTTTAATTCAGCAACAATTTTCAATTTCTTTTTCCGAGATAGGGTTAAGTATTTTACTTCCTTTTCTGTTAATCTGAGCAGTTTATATTTTTGTAAATATTTATCCATTTCACTAAGATTGTCAAATTTATTGACATACAGATGGGCAAAATAGTTCCTAATTATTGTTTTAATTTCCTCTTCATTGGTGGTGAATTCACCCTTTTCATTTTTGATACTGGTAATTTTATTTTCTTCTTTCTTTTTTTTAATTAAATCAAGCAAAGGTTTATCTATTTTATTGGGTTTTTTTTTCATAAAACCAGCTATTAGTTTTAACTATTAGTTCAATAGTTTTCTTAATTTCAATTTTATTAATCCCTCCTTTGGTTTTCAGTATTTCTAATTTGGTATTTAATTGGGGGTTTTTTAATTTGTTCTTTTTCTAGTTTTTTTTAGTTGCATGCCCAATTCATTGATCTCCTTTTTCTCTTTTTTTTTTTTTTGAGGGGGAGGCAGTTGGGGTTAAGTGACTTGCCCAGGGTCACACAGCTAGTAAGTGTCAAGTGTTTGGTCTGAGGCCAGATTTGAACTTAGGTCCTCCTGACTTCAGGGCCAGTGCTCTATCCACTTCACCACCTAGCTGCCCCTCCTTTTTCTCTATTTTATTCATGTAAGCATATAAAACTTCCCCTAAGAACTGCTTTTGTTGCATCCCATAAGTTTTGTTATGTTGTCTCATTATTGTCATTCTCTTGAATGAAGTTGTTGACTGTTTCTATGATTTATTGTTTGACCCATTCATTCTTTAGGAGTAGATTATTTAGTTTCCAATTAATTTTTAGTCCATCTTTCCATGGCCCTTTATTACATGTAGTTTTTATTGCATCATGATCTGAAAAGGATGCATTTAATATTTCTGCCTTTCTTCATTGGATTGTGAGGTTTTTATGCCCTATTAGATGGTCAATTTTTGTGTAAGTGCCATGTACTTCTGAGAAAAAAGTATATTCCTTTCTATCCCCATTCAATTTTCTCCAAAGGTCTACCATATCTGACTTTTTAAAAATTCTATTCACCTCCTTAATTTCTTTCTTGTTTGTTTTGTGGTTAGATTTATCTAGTTCAGAGAGGCGGAGGTTGAGGTCCCCCACTAGTATAGTTTTGCTGTCTATTTCTTCCTGTATCTCCCTGAACTTCTCCTCTAAGAATCTGGCTGCTATACCACTTGGTACATATATGTTTAGTAATGATATTACTTCATTGTCTGTGGTACCTTTTAGCAGGATGTAGTTTCCTTCCTTATCTCTTTTAACAAGATCTATTTTTGCTTTTGCTTTGTCTGAGATCAGGATTGCTACCCCTGTAGCAATTTTCAAATGGCTTACTTTGAGGTTATAAAGCTTTTTTTTAACTAGCCCTGATTATTCCAGCTAATCTTATCATTCTCTTTGCTTCCACATGGAACTGAGTTCTCTGGAAACAGAAGTTTAGGGCAGGACTTAGTGCAGACACCCAAATAGCTTGGCCTACTGCTGTGCAGAATTCCTGATCCATCAGCCTCAGCCTCCCCAAGCAGCAGGGATACACCACCATGCCTGACCCTATCAATTTTGATTAGCTCCTTAATTTCTGTATTCCTAGATAAAGACTACTGAGCCCTGAGTCAGGAAGACTCATCTTCCTGAGTTCAAATCTGGCCTCAGACACTTACTAGCTATGTGACCCTGGGCAAGTCACTTAACTCTGTTTGCCTCAGTGTCCTCATTGTAAAATGAACTAGAGAAGGAAAAGGCAAACCACTCCAGTATCTTTGCCAAGAAAACCCCAAATGGTGTCACCAAGAGTCAGACATGACTGAAAAATGACTGAACAACAGCAGCTCTTGCAGCCTCTTGTGCCTTATGTCCCTTCTTCCTCCTGTGTGCAGTTTGCTCCCCTGCTTGTATCTGCTCATTTCCTTCCCCCTTCTATCTGGTATCTAATGCCTCAGATTAGGGCCTCCTCATAAGCAGTGACCCATCTCTAACTTATGATGTCAATTATCTACCTTTCTATCTTTGGGCATGCCCAGATCACCAAAGATGGAGGTATCCATAAGGGAAATCCCCAAGACCTACTTCTGGGAAAAGACATGCTGTGCGCTCCTACCAAGTGGGTGGGCACAGCCTTTTTCTATTGGCCATGTAGCCAGAATAGTCTATGTCTTTAAAACTATCAGACCAGGACAATCTCACTCTCTTTCCAGCAGTGTCTAGGGGGATGAAGGTCCTATTCCCCTTAAGCATAGGCACAATGCACTGAGTTGGGTGTGGGGGAAGGGCTTTCCCACTCTCCCTTTTAAGCCCCATGGCCCTAACAATTAGTTTGTCTTTTTCAGTTCTAGGCACAGGTGGTGGAGTCTCTGGACCCAGGAGCTTAACCCATTGGGACCATGAAGGACAGTATTCCAGACTGACTGCTGCTGCCAGGACATAAGTCTAAAGGGGCTTTGTACTTGGAGCGTGGTGGGATCACACGATATAGGAAATGAGTTATATTCCTCTGCAAAAGCTAATTTGGCTGCTAAGTGGTTAAATGGAACTGTGCTGTAGGAAACCTCTAAAATTGAGGGAATACAAATTAGTGGGAGCCTCAGCAAATGGAAGAGATAAGGGGACTCTCCAAACCCTTTATTGTTGTTGTTTGTACTTTGTTTTTTAAGAGGACCAAAGACATCACAGGGTGATGTATTGACTTGTTCCTGAATTGGATTTAAGTGAAGCAGAGTTGCACAAAATCTTCAGCCTCACATTTTCTTCCAGAGTCATTGAGGTCCAGTGGCAAGACAAAAGTCAAGGCCTGAGATGCAGACTTTGGCATCTTCAGTGTCAGATCAGACTCTAAGTGCTCCACAGTGCCTGCTTCAGTAGCCTTCATGGCTATTGGAACAAACTGTTTACATCCAACCATTCCTCTGGGGGAAGTCTTCACATGCTTGGGGTAGACATCCCTCTAACTCAGTGACAGATTTGAGGCCTGTTGGTTACCCTCAACCTGCTTAAGCCCATATGCCAAGATGGTTTTACTAGGGTGTGGCTGTATACAAGCTACAGCTTCTTGGAGTCACAGGTGAAAGTTGGGTGAGTCAAATGGACTCCAAAGGCAGATAAGCAGCCCTGAAAAGGGCTTGGCAAGTCCTTATTTGCCAATATAACAGACCTGGCTTTGGCTGGGGGGGGGACTAGGATAGTCACTATTACACAGATTTGACTCCAATTGGTGTTAAATAATCTTCCCATAGTCCCAAAATAGTTATTTGATTTATAGAACAGCCTTCACAACTCTGAAAGTTCACATGTAAATGAGCTGAAGGATCACAATGCATTGTAGCCATCTTTAACTTTAAACTACTTTAACTTTAACAGTCTTCTACCTTCAAATAGGTCTTCTCAGTATATTTATCTGACAGGGTAGTTTTCTCTCAGTGCCTCAAAACATTTTGTGTTTCTCCTCAACATTTTATCTTCGAGGCTGTGTTTCTTCCAGAGCTGATTTTATCAGTTTTCCCTACACAAATGTTCTTTTCCTTTCAGCAACCAAAATGTCCACGTTCCTTATGTTGTATATTGTATATATGTTGGGAAAGTGGCAGAAAGAAAGAATTAATTACATGGTGTGGGGGCAAGGGAAGTGTCTGAATTGACTTCTGCTTTAGATTTATCAGCATTGCCCATGAAGCCATACTCCTCAGGAAAAGAAATCCTCAAAATATTCCAGGGAGTTCAAAGAAATCTGAGAGATTTTGAAGACCATGTTGGGGCTCTTCTGAATGAGTGATGAGTGTGACAAGGGTTGGAAACGCTATTCCCAGGGAAACTTGGTGGGGTGAGGGTAGAATACTAACTCATTTCTCCCCATTAACCAGAGGAAAGGGTTTCTTGTTAAAGAAGAAGACATTAAGTTCCAGATGAAAAGGGAAAAGCAAGAAAAGGGATGACAGGCAACATTCCTCCAGGGCTAGCCTTGGAAACAGGACCTGGGATCAGATACTACCTCTTAATATATACTGACTATATGAACACTTAAGGCCAGCTGGGTGGTGCAGTAATAGAGCATTGGGCCTAGAGTCAGGAAGACCTGAGTTCAACTCAACCTCAGACACTAACTAGCTGTGTGACCCTAGGCATGTCATTTAATCCTTTTTGCCTCAGTTTCCTCATCCGTAAAATGACCTGAAGAAGGAAATGGCAAACCCCTCCAAAGGGCAAACCCCTTTTTCTTTTGGTCTGTTTCTTCTTTCACAACATGACTAATATGGCAATATGTTTTATGTGCTTGTGCATATATAACCTATATCAATTGCTTACTGTCTTGGAGGGGTGAAGGAAGGAGGGAAAAAATTTGAAAGTCAAAATTTTTTAAATGAATATTAAAAATTCTCTTTACATGCAATTGGAAAAAATAAAATAATACACGAAATTTTTAAAAGATTATTTTATCCTGGGGCAGCTAGATGTCACAGTGGATAGAGCACTAGACCTGGAGTCAGGAGAACCTGAGATCAAGTTTGACCTCAGACATTTAACACTTATTAGCTGTGTGACCCTGGGCAAATTACTTAACCCAGATTGCCTCACACACAAAAAAAAGATTATTTTATCCTTACAGTAACTCTGGGAGGTAGGTATTATTTTCTTCCTATTTTACAGATGAGGAAACCTAGGCTAACAGAAGTTAAGTGACTTACCCACAGTCACGGCGTCTGAGGTCCAATTTGAGCTCAGGTGCCCCGGACTGAAGGTCCAATACTATCCAATACTCTACCTAGCACATTGAGAATAAAGAGAACAATTAGACAATTTCACTAGGATGCTGAGAATGGAAAGGCACTTACTAAGAAGTGAATGAGCAGTCAGGCAACGGGGTCAGGCACTGACTGCAGAGAGCCTGGGCAGTAAAAAAAGACCAAAAAAAAAGACAGAAATAGAACAGTAACTTAAAGGGACAGCACCTTAGGGACCTTGGTGTAATGGAAAGAAAATTGGACTTGTAGTTAGGATTTTTAAGCTAGGTTTTAAAGTAGCTCTAACCAAGTCACTAAGTCTCAGTTTTTTTATTTGATTCAACAAGCATCGAATAAACACCTACTATGTGGCTGTCACGGGGATAAAAATATAAAATGAAAAATATTACCTGCCTTCAAATGTGCTTACCTTAAACTGGTAGGGCACAGATGCAACCCAAGGCCTGGTGTCCTAAGCTTTTCACTTGCATGGACCAGGTTCCATCTTGGGAGGTTTTCAAAAATATAACTTTGACTCCTATTCCCACTCACGGCTTCTCAAGAGAGCATCCAAATGGGTCTAAGTCTCTACTTATATGGGGAAAGGACCCCAGCTCCCTTGCAAACATTTAACCTAATTATATCAGATATAGGATAGGGCTTGTTTCACCTCAAAAAGAAAATGAAAGACAACATAAAGGACTCAAAGTAGTCCATAAAGAATTAACACATTTATTCTACCCTCACCAGTGGATTCTCCCTTTCCCCAGGTTCTTCTAGCTCTGCACCAAGTACTTATTATTTTCTCCAGAAACCTGGGCCCAGGAATTCTCTCTCCTCTTCCACTGCCTCTTTCTGCCACCATATCTAAAAGCCCTGTGGTTCCCCTTCTAAAAATTCCTCGGTAGTTCTAATACTTCTTTTCTATTGTGGCCTGAGGTGAAGTTGAAGTAATGGTCCCTGGGGAACTGTGCCAATGTGCTTCACCCTTCCAAGATCCAAAGGTTCTCAGGTCTCTGATTACTACCTTGTGCTCATTCTCTGGATCTTTCTGATTCTATGACATATCTGCCTCTTTCTCCAAGCCCAAGTCCCAGGGATCCCAAGCTCAGATTGACAATAGCCTAACCCAAGCAAATCAAACCAAATTCTAAGACTCACTTAGTGGAGATGTTCACATCAAGTTGACAGAATCACAGTCCTGAGGAGTTGCTTCCTCCTTGGACCTTGTTATGTTGCCCAGGTTTGTTCTTGGTTACCCCTTGATACAACATTTATATAGATAAATATGCAGTAAGTATCCTCTGGCTCCACCCTCTCAGGCCAGGCTGGCTCTCCTCTCCTTCTCGAGGTGTCAGAATACCCTGCGGGATCAGAGTCCCTTTTCTCTGTCATCAGCTTGAGCCTTCACTAGTTGTGTTCCCTCCATTTGTTTGGTACCAGTAACTAGCATCCCAGTTCCATTTAGCCACTTAGCAGCAAGTAGCTTTTTTACAAAAGGATAGGCACAATCTCTGCTACATCTACCCACTCAGTCACTGGGCGAGTAGGCTCAAAACTTAGTTTAGTTCCTGCATGGCATTGGTCCCACCAAGTTCACATCCAAAGGTAGCATTATTGTTGGACAAGTCTTCATTTCTAACTTTTGCTGACAATGGGATACAGAAGGTTGGTCCCCAAGATTGCTCTTTGTAATTAATTCTGGAACATCAATGTTGGGCTCAATGCAACCCTGGCCTGGAGCCAGGTTCTGGAATAGCAGGACCTCAGACCAACTTCATGATGACCTTTTGAATTCATTCTTTCATGTATAAAAAGAACAAATGGAAGAGCCAAGGGCTGAAGCCTATTTCTTGAGGACTACAAGGCCTCAGAGGGGAAGATGGCCCCAAGTGTACGATCACTTGCCAGACATATTGAGTGAGAGTCACTGAGCTCCCTTAGATTTGAATGAAGCAAAGAGGAAATATCTGAAGTTGACAGGCCTTTTTGAAGATGTCAGTGATCCTACAGCCAATCAAAAAAGGCTCAGGTGGTAAGCCAACTGGAACCACAGAGTGTCCACAAATGCTCCACAGTTTCTCCAAAACACTTCCCCTTATACATTCCCCAAATTTTGAATAGACTAGACCCTAAATTTTCTTGGGGTTAATTTCTTACCTCCTGTCCCTTATATGAGTCATCATCTAATCTAGGATCTCAGTCACTGTGGCTTCATTTTGTCCACTTGACGTTGTGTTGCTGACGTAGTGGTGCGCCTCGTTGACCTTAAAGGGGTGCCTCTTGGGAGCAGCTAGGTGGCACAGCGGATAGAGCACCGGCCCTGGATTCAGGAGGACCTGAGTTCAAATCCAGTCCCAGACATATAACACTTACTAGCTGTGTAACCCTGGGCAAGTCACTTAACCCCATTGCCTAAAACAACAAAAAAAAACAAAACAAAAAACAAAACAAACAAACAAAAAAGGGACGCCTCTTTCAGCTCTCTGACTACCAGACTGTGGCAGTATGAAGGAGAGTTCAGGTGGCACTGGGGAAGGATGGTAGAAATACACTGGACTTCTTCCCAGGTGAAAGCAAACTACTCCCGACTAGTTTCAGGCACAAGAATTGGGGATGGGGTGTGGGGTTGTGGGGTGGGAAGGTTTTGGTGAAGTCTGCAGCCCCATACTACTCACCTTGACTGATCAGGAATGGCTTCAGTGATGGACATGACAATTTTGTTCAACTTCCTGTACTCCACTGTAAGCTACCAGATGCCATCATTCTTCACATCAGGTTGTTGTAATGCGAATTGGAATAATGAATACTCCAGCCTCCTTTATCTCCAACGCTAGAGAAAAAATAGCTTTCATGTCCCAACCCCATCTCTGGCACCCAATATTATTTGTTATTAACTACATGGAATGATTCAAGTTCAGCAGCCCATCATATATTTGTCATCCCTCTCCCAAACCCATTTCTAGATCACCACAACTTGAGCAAATGGCATCAGATTTCCTAGAGATCCTGTAGTTAAGGGAAGATCTGAGCCCCAGGGGAACATTGGCCTTGGCTCTAGGCATCCACAAAGTCTCTCAAGTCGACTTGAGAGGCTCTGGATGGCCAAATGTAGTGGAACCCAAAGGAAATGTCCTAAGTTTGGGCTGGTCTCAAGGAACCCTACTTGGTATATTACAATACGGTTTCACTAGCACCCCCAGGGCTACTGATGAATTATTTTCTCGTCAACCTCAGGTTTTAGAAACCACACCCACAGCTCCCTGCAGGAGATGCTGTCATGGTTCTCCACCTGTCTGTCACAGAAGTCAAAGTAGGGCCTCCTACCATCCTCAGAACACACTTTGGCACACATAGCTCTGTTTGCCCTGACAGCTACTGCTATCCCCATCTCCTGCTCAAATTTTATTAGTTGATCTGCCTTTGCCTGTATGGTTGTGAGGCAAGGAAGACCCCCTAGCTAAAACCTGAACCATTCAGGCGGGGCTTTACCTAAAAAGGCTGGTCACAGTGTGTGGCAGCCTGAGGTGAACAGGGGGACAGGCTGAGGGGGAGTCATAGATCCAATATATCAAACTCATTCCCTTCAAGAATTTCACCTCCACCCTTACAGAACAGGGGGCAGAATCAGAGAGCAGGCTACAATGGAAATTCATCTTTATAGAGTCCAGAACAAGTAACTAGTCATCTCAGACACCTGTTTGAAAAAAAAAGGCAATACCATCCGCGAGCCTCTGATTGACTTAGCTGATTCTTTAGAAATAAATACTCACAGAGATGTCCAGGCCTATAGAATTCTGCTGCAGACACATCCTCCACATTGGTTCCATTAGACCATGCCCTCAGAAGCCAACGTGACAGCAGGCTGCCGTTTGAACTTCTCCAGTAACAGTCCTCTACTCCCTCACTTGGTGATGAAAGTCGGCTCACCCATGCTCCATCAGTGGAGGAAATCACTTGTTCAGTCATGGGGTCTTTGTGACTCCAAGGACCAAAGCACACGAGGCCCTTCTATCCTCTACTATCTCTTGAAGCCTATCCAAGTTCATGTTTATTGTTTCCATGATACTATCTATCCATCTCATCCTCTGCCATCCCCTTTTCCTTTTGCCTTCAATCTTTTTCAATATCAGGGTATTTTCCAATGAGTCCCATCTTCCCATTATGCAGCCAAAGTATTTAAGCTTCATCTTCAGTATTTGACTTTCCAGTGAATAGCCTCAATTAATTTCTTTCAACATTGACTGATTCGACCTCCTTGCTGTCCAAGGGACTCTCAAAAGTTTTCTGCAGCACCACAATTTGAAAGCATCAATTCTGCAACTCTCAGCTTTCCCTTATAATCCTATTCTCACAGCCATACATTACTACTGGAAAAAACATATCTTTGATTAAATGGACTTTTGTTGGCAAGGTGAGGCTTCTGCTTTTTAGTACGCTGTCCAGATTTGCCATAGCTTTCCTTCCAGGGATCAAGTGTCTTCTATTTTCATGGCTGCAGTCATTGCAGTGGTCTTTGAGCCCAAGAACATAAAACCTGACACTGCTACCATTTCTTCTTTCTCTGTTTGCCAGGAAGTGATGGGATCAGTTGCTAAGATCTTAGTGTTTTGTTTCTGTTTTTTGTTTTTGTTTTTGCAAGGCAATTGGGGTTAAGTGACTTGCCCAGAGTCACACAGCTAGTAAGTGTTGTGTGTCTGAGGTCATATTTGAACTCAGGTCCTCCCGACTCCAGGGCTGGTGCTCTATCCATTTCACCACCTAGTTGCCCCTGATCTTAGTTTTTTTGATGTTAAGCTTTGTAAACTCTCCTCTTTCATCCTCATCAAGAGCCTTCTTAATTCCTCTTCACTTTCTGCCATCACAGTGGTATCCTCTGCATAACCGAGATTGTTGATATTTCTCCTAGCAACCTTAATTCCAGTTTTTTATTCATCGAGCCTGGCATTTCACATGATGTACTCTGCATATAAATTAAACAAATAAGGTAATAATATATAGCCTTGTCATACTCCTTTTCCAATCTTTGCTGTTCCATGTTCAGTTCTAACTATTGCTTGTTGGCCTGCATACAGGTTCCTTAGGAGACAAGTAAGATGATCTAGTAGTCCCATCTCTTTGAGGACTTGCCACATTTTGTTGTGATCCACACAGTCAAAGGTTGTAGTGTAGTCAATGAAGCAGAAGTAGATGTTTTTCTGGAACTCTCTTGCTTTCTCCATAATCCGACTAATGTTGGCAACTTGGTTTCTAGTTGTTCTGCCTTCGTCAAAAACCATCCTGGTTCACATATTGCTGAAGCCTAGCTTGCTCAATCTTAAGCATGGCATGTGAGATGAATTCAATTGTTCAGTAATCTGAACATTCCTTGGCATTGCCCTTCTTTAGGATTGGGACATAAACTGATCTTTTCCAATCCAGTGGCCACTGCTGTGTTTTTCAAATTTGCTGGCATATTGAGTGCAACACTTTTTAACAGCATCATCTTTTAGGGTTTTAAATAGTTCAGCTAGAATTCCATCACCTCCAGTAGCCTTATTGTTAGCAATGCTTCCTAAGGTCCACTTGACTTAATTCTCCAGGCTCTAGATCAGTAACCACACCATCATGGTTATAGGTGATCTTTTCAGGATCTTTCTTGTATAGTTCTTTTGTGTATTCTGATCACCTCTTCTTAATCTCTTCTGCTTCTGTTAAATTCCTATCATTTTTGTCTCTTGTCATGCCTATTTTTTCATGAAGCTTTCCCTTGATAGCTCTAATTTTCTTGAAGAGATGTCTTGTCTTTCCCATTATATTGTTTTCTTCTATTTCTTTGCATTGTTCATTTAAGAAAACCTTCTTGTCTCTCCTTGCTATTCTCTGGAATTCTGCATTCAGTTGAGTATATCTTTCTCTTTCTCCTTTCCCTTTCCCTTTCCTTCTTTCCTTAGCTATTTGTAAAGTCTCATCAGACAGTCATTTTGTTTTCTTGCTCTTCTTTTTCTTTGGAATATTTTTAGTTGTTGTTTCCTGTACAATAATGCAAACCTCTGTCCGTAGTTCTTCAGGTACTCTATCTACCAGATCTAGCCTCTTAAATCTATTCATCACCTCCACTTTATATTCATAAAGGACATTATTTAGGTCGTACTTATATGGCCTGACAGTTTTCCCTACTTTCTTCAATTTAAGTCTGAATTTTGCAATAAGAAACTCACAATCTGAGCCACAGTCAGCCCCAGGTCTTGTTTTAGCTGACTGTACAGAGCTTCTCCCTCTTTGACCACAAAGTGTATAATCAACCTGATTTCTGTATTGATCATCTGCCAATGTCTATGTGTAGAGTTGCCTTTTGGGTTGTTGAAAAAGAGTGTTTGTTATGACCAGTGAATTATCTTGACAAAACTCTATTAGTCTCCACCCCACCTCCTTTTGTAGTCCCAGGTCAAACTTGCCTGTTATTCCAATTATCTTTTCATTTCCTACTTTAGCGTTCCAATCCTCTATGATGAATGTGACATCTTTTATGGTACAATAATAGGCTATCTTACCACTCATAGTTGTTTCGAGTCTCTTCCTCATATCCACTCTTATTCTGTTGCCTTATGGCTCTGATTTCTGTGGGATGAAGTCCCTAGAGGGGCAATTGCTATCTCAGGTTCTATATAACCCTGTGGGTGACTTCTTTATTCCTAATGTGAAGATCTACTGGTACATTTCCCATTAACAATCAGCCAGTAGACTCAACTAATACTTAAAAAATATATTTACTCAAACATAATAGAAAAATAGTTACCAAGCAGGCACCCCCCAAACAGTTCTCTTACAAATACACATAGTCCAGGGGATAAGAACTAAGAACTCTGGAACTGTATGGCCTAGTTGTTCTTTCTCTGAAGACTCCTCACAAAGTTAAATGAAGAAATAGTGTTGTTGGGGGCAGCTAGGTGGCACAGTGGATAGAACACTAGCTAGCCCTGGAGTCAGGAGGAGTTGAGTTCAAATCCAGCCTCAGACACATGATACTCACTAGCTGTGTGACCCTGGGCAAGTCACGTAACCCCAGTTGCCTCGCCAAAAAAAAAAAAGATAGTGTTGTTGATAGATAAATTACTATACTGATAGTCTGGCATGGCTCCCCAGAGGGCATGATATCACTGCCACACAAGTCAACCTGTTCTGGGTAAAACTAGGCAGGTTACTCAGTTCACTGGCACAGTGTCTGCAAATCGAGTCTATGTGTTGGACTCCCTCAGCTGGATCTTCAATGGATTTCTGTAGCTTTCATCACCCCGGGATCAGTAGGACACTGTTGGGCTCTTTCAGCAGGAGTGTTTTTATGCTCTCTAAAGAAAGGGCAAAGAAGGGGCAGCCAGGTGGTGCAATGGATAGAGCACCAACCCTGGATTCAGGAGGACATAAGTTCAAATTTGGCCTCAGACACGTAACACTTACTAGCTGTGTGACCCTGGGCAAGTCACTTAACCCCACTGCCTAGCCAAAAAAAAAAAAAAAAAGAAAGGGCAAAGACTCAACCTAAGACTGACAGAAGCTCATGAAATAACACAAAGTGAAACCAGCAGAACCAAGAGAACATTGTATAAAGTAACAACTATATTGTTCAAAGAGTAACTAAGCTATTCTGAACAATACGATCATTCAAATCAACTAAGAAGGATTCATGAAGGAAAATGCTATTCACCTCCAGAAAAAGAACTGATATATGGAAGTATGTATTGTATGGTTCCATGAATATATCAGAGGTTGGCCTTCTCTAATGCAGGGTTGGGAGGGAGAGAGGGAGACAATTCAAAACTCAAAAGTATAACCTCCCCCAAAAAAAGATTGGCAAAAGTCTCTCCAATTCTGCAACCCTGGGGCCTCAGCAATAAGTTCTATCACCTCCTGGGTTTGTAGTAGGAGAGGCAGAACTTTTCCAATTCAATAATTCTTCCTCACCCTAATTTATGGCTTCCATCTAGTACATTTCCCAAATTCCTGTTGGATCTATGAAAATAAATAACTGAGGACAAAGATAAGCAGGCAGTAATCCAGAGAGAAGTTTCTAATTTCTGCAGGCCTTTTTGCTTTAAGTCCCCTACTAGGAGTAGAATACTCCATTTACACCCAGGATATGTTCCAAGCAAAGAAGCCAAATCACCTTTTACCCTTCCTAATAAGGAAAGAACGTCCTTTTTAAAATCAGCTTTCCTGATTTAATGTGGGGAATCAGCATTTAAGGGTTCAGTAGATATGGATAGAACATTGGACCTGGAGTCAGGAAGACTTGAGTTCAAACCCAGCCTCAGACACTTGCTAGCTGTGTAGACACTGAGCAAGTCACTTTATCTTTGCCTCAGTTTCCTCAGTTGTAAAATAAGACTCATCATAGCACCTACCTCACAGGGTTGATATGAAAATCAATTGAGATAATATTTGCATGGCATATAGCATAGTGCCTTAGCATAGTGCACATTGTAGGTGCTTAATAAGTACTTATTCCATTCCCCTGACCTGATGTGTGTATATCAATGGACATCATACTTAACCTGGAGCAACTGAACTTCAGTGTTCCTTTTCTCCATTCCCTCAAGACTTTAGGAAGAAACATTTGTTTTCATCTTTAGCAGGGGTGGGGAACATGTGGCCTCGAGGCCATCTAGGTCCTCAAGTGCAGCCCTTTGACTGAATCCAAACTTCACAGAACAAATCCCTTTAATAAAAGGATGTGTTTTATAAAACATGGACTCAGTCAAAAGACCACACTCAAGGACATAGAAGCCCATACGTGGCCTCAAGGCCACAGGTTTCCCACCCCTGAATTCTACAGTAAGTAAACATCCATGTCTATGTATTTATATGTCTATCTATGCCAGTTGGCACAGTGGATAAAGCACTGGGCCTGAAGTCAGGAAGACTTATCTTCCTGAGGTCAAATCTGATCTCAGACACTTACTAGCTATGTGACCCTGGGCAAGTCACTTAACCCTGTTTGCCCGAGTTTCCTCATCTATAAAATAAGCTGGAAAAGGAAATGGTAAACCACTCCAGAATCTTTGCCAAGAAAACCTCAAAAGGGGTCATGAAGAGTGTGACAAGACTGAAAAACAATCTATCTATATATGGTTACTGTATGCAATTCTGCTAGATGTGCTATCAAGACTAGGGCCTCTCTCAAAAGGTCTCTCTCCAGCCAGATCCTGGGATCAAACTTGGCCAAAACCAGTATGCCTTGAGAAATACGACTTCTGTGCTAGAAGGCAAGATCAATATTAAATATCTTCTTTGGGCCAGACACTATGCTAGGCACTGGGGATTTGGATGCCACGATCATGCTTCCTAGGAAATGATCTTCCTCTAACTAGGAGAGAATATTTCAGAAATAACACTCTCAAAGTGAGCAGAACATTGTATACAGTAACAGTAACACTGTGTGATGAATAAATATAATTGACTCGGCTCTTCTCAGCAATACAATGATCCAAGGCAATTCCAAAAGACTCATGATGGAAAATGCTATCCACATCCAGAGGAACGACTGATGGAGTCTGAATGCAGAGCAAAGCACACTAGTTTCCCTTTTGCAGGGGGCGGGGGTTTGTGGCTTTTTCCTTTTGCTCTGTTTCTGCTTTCACAACGTGACATAAGATGGAAATGTGTTTTACTCTATTGCACGTGTATAACATATATCAAGTTGCTTACTTTCTTGAGCAGGAAGGAAGGAGAAAAATTTGGAACTCAAAATCTTTCAAAAAATGAATGTTGAAAATCGTCTTTACATGTAATTGGAAAAAATAAAATGCTATTAAAAATAAATAGTACTCTCCTCATGGATACTCTCTCCTCTCTTCAGTGTTTCTAATTCTTTTACCTCTTAGCAGTCTCCTTTGCTGGCTCACCTTCACCCCATATAACCCCCTCAGCTACCAAATCTTTTCATATATATTTTGATCCTCCACAACATATCTTGTACAGGACCCCTTCTCTTTACTCACACAGGCACTGCCTCAATCTTATTTCCACTCCAGACCATCCCCCACACTGCTGCCAAAGTTATTTTCCTTAAGCGCAAATTTGACCCAATCATTTTTCTGCTCAACAAACTATGGCTTCTTGGCTAAAATAGAAACCCTTCTATTTGACTTTTGATGACCTTTACAACCTGATCCCAATTTGTCTTCCTTTTCTCATCATATTTTACTCCCTTCCTTGTTCCAGCAGAACTGGGCTCTGCCTACACATGACATTCTCATCTCCCCTCTCTGTGCCTTTGCTCATGCTTGGTACTCCCTCCTTACTTCCATTCCACTGAATCTCCAACTTCCTTCAAAACTTTTACATACCATCTTTTATGCAAAGTGTTCCCCAATTTTTCAACTGATAGTATCTTTCCCCAAATACTTTGTATTTAAATATCTTGCATTATTTGTATTTCTTCTGATACACACACACACACACACACACACACACACACACACACACACACACACTTTTTGTTGCCTCTCCCACTCCCATTAGAACATTAACTCCCTTAACTCCAATTGCCTTGGCAAAAAAAAAAAAAAAGAAAAAAGAAAAAAGAAAAGAACATTAACTCCTTCATACTTCGTATTTGCATGCCCAGCACCAAACACAATACTTGGCATGTAGTAGGTACTCAATGAATGGCAGTTTATTCATTGATTTAACACTACCCATGGACAATCATCCTGGGCCATGTTGTATAAAAGACATATAGCTTCTCCTTGCTTCCCCTGAATACTTCATCACTGTCTTGACTGGAGTGGGGTGGGGGAGAAGTAAGAAGTCCTTTTCTTGGGCTGGGAAAATCCATTTACAAGAATTTTCCTCTTGATCTGACTGGGTGAGTAGTCTGTGAGTTAAATATATTTAATTCCTATGTGTTTCTGTCCAAGGCAGCCATTGACAATTGCTAGATATAGAGAAAAGATTATGTATGCACAACTTTCTCGGTCTTCTCCCCTCCTCCCCCAATATGGTGGAAATGTTTTGCTTTATGATCCTTTGATGTTTCTCTGACTCCATTTTTTAATTTGTGGCCTATCTTGTCACTCTGGCTTAAGACACAATTTCAATTTGTTGTGGAATTTTACTAGTTGGCTTGCTGAAATCCCCCACAACTTGGCCTCCCCTGATAAAGTACTGATTCTGATAAAGTACTATCCCTTACCCTGTTCCTTGGCAGAAGGCCATCACTGTCAAGATGGGTGGGGTTAGAACACATCAGGTAGTCTTTTACCACCCCTGCATTTAGAGATAAGACCTAAGACTATTCAGACTCTCAAGAGGAAAGGCCTCTTTTTCACGGTGAGGTAAGGGGTAAAACCTCTTCCTAGCTCAGAAGCTGGGGAAGAATGTCCTATCTCTGGTCAGATGGTTGAGGGAACGCCCTAGAGAAACCCTATAAAACCCCCACTCAAATCTCCAGCCAGTGGAGCAATTACTAACAGTCCTGGGACCATTTGATCTTTTCCCACTCTTGGCTGATGCCCAGAGATCCACTCCCCTATCCCACAGGCATCACCTAATTCCATGTACAGAACTCCTCTAGTCTCTGTCCTTCTCCAAATGCCCCTGCCCCCTTTAGGTTTCATGGCTGCTATGCTGCTTGCCTTTGGATCATCACAAACTACTCACCAACTACCAGTGTTTGTGTCAATATGCTTCCTGTAATGATTCCTAATTTCTGGCCCTTTGTGACAGAATCAAACTGAACCAGCTTAATGGATCACAAGCCAAGTCTGGACCACAGGTACCTCCATTTATTTCATGAATCACTGACCAAAGCTGAGACCAGGTGTCCTAGTGGCTAGTAGGGCTAGGTCAATGAACTCTGTGCTTCAATGGTAGGGAAACTCTCCCTCTTAGCTCATAAACTGTTGCCCAAACCTGGGATTACCTAGACAGTTGCCTGATAATCTTTTTTTTTCCACTGTCATATCTTGAACATGATGATGTCATTTAGAACTCCAGCACAAAGGCTTAGGTGAGGAATCTTGTGGTTCAATGGAAGGGTGTTCTCAATCCCACTAGATCCACAAATCACTAATCAAGACTAGAGCTAGGACCCTCAGTAGCCACTCTGATATCCTAATGAGCACAGTGCTATGATTCACAATTAGAACAAGAATGAAGGGTCTCAACCTCCTGCTTCAGCAATAGAGAATTCCTGCTTTCTTTTTAGATCCCTAAGTATTGATCAAGGCTGTGACTAGAGCCCCTGGCAGCTGTACCTTCATGGACAGGACTCCCTTTCCTTACCAAAGAAAGCAAGGGCCAGGGGCTGAAGTATATACCTTTTCCATTAGACCCCTTAGATTCATAAGGTATTGACCAGGGCCAGGACAGGATTTTGGGGCCACTGTGTCCCAGTGGCAAGAAATCTATTGTCAAGACAAGGCTTGTAGTCATTAGCAACATGTTCCAGAATCCACAAACACTTACTAGGCCCTGGTTTAGAAAGAAAGGAAGATGAAGAGAGAGAGAAGGAAGGAGGAAGGGAGGGGGGAGGGCAGAATAGAGAGAGAGAGGTGTCTGTCCTCTTTTATAGGCCAGGCAAGAAGAGTTGTTCCTCTGATAAGTTGTTGTAGCCAACCGATTCTTTTCGGGGAATGGATAGCTAGTCAATAAAATTCAGTTCAACAAAGGGGTTTCTATTATATACTATTGCTACCTATAAACAATTCTTTTTTAAAAAATAAATTTGTTGATGTCTTTTGTTTTTACATTACTTAAATTTCCTCCTTTATCCTTTCACCTTCCCTTCCAAAGAGCCATCCAATACGGAAAAGTTTTTTAGGTTTTTTTTTTAAGTAAAGAAAAAGAGGAAAAAGTAAAACTGATTAAAATATATCAAAAAACCTGAAAATGGATATAATATTCTACATTCATGGAACTCCTACCTCTCTAAACTAAAGTGACTCAGTGGATATAGCACTGGGCCTGGAGTCAGGAAGACCCGAGTTCAAATTGGGCCTCAGATGCTTACTAGCTGTGTGACCCTGGGGAAATCACTTAACCTCTGTTTGCTTTAATCCACTGGAGAAAGAAATGGCAAATCACTCCATTATCTTTGACAAGAAACCCCCACAGACAGTACCGGAATGCTGTGATCCACAGGGTCACAAAGAGTCAAACATGACCGAGCAACTGAACAACAATCTCTTCTTTTAGGGCCAAGTATGATCTCCGTAATTTGTAACATTAATTTTTTTTTAATTTTGTGGTTGTTCTTTCCATTTACATTGTTCTAGGCATTAAGAATATTGCTTCTTGCCTCTGCTTGCTTCACTTTGCATCAATTCATGCAAATTTTTTCATGCTTCTCTGTATTTATCATATTCATAATTTCTTACAACACAGTAATATTCCATCATCACAAATTGTTTAGCTATTTCCCATCTGATGGGTATCTACTTTGCTTCCAGTTCTCCATTACTACAAAAACTGCTGCTTTAAATATGTTGGTGTATGTGAGGTCATTCTTTGTTATTGGTGACCTCTGTGAGGTATATGTTTACCAGTAAGACTTCTGGATCAAAGGGTATGAACCTTTTACCCTCTTTATTTGCGCAATTCCAAATTGCTTTCCATAATGGTTGTACTGATTCACAGCTTCACCAACAACTTATTAGTGTGACTATCTTTCCACACCCCCTCCAACACAAGAGTATTTCCACCTTTTTTTAATCTTTATCTGCATGCAATTCTAATGTGAATATCATGTTTCAGGTACCTGCATGTGCACTGTGCTGTGATTACAGGTAACTGTTGAGATAACTGCTAACATTGTCAATTATGTGGTTTACTAATTCCTGTACACTACGTTATATGATCCGGGATATCTTAGAGACTGCAAATTTTCAGAGGGGAAAGAAGAGAGAGTACATATGCCTAAAGCCAAGATCCATAGCTAATTGCTCCAGCCACACATATATAATAAAGGGAGGAATTTAGAACAAAGGATTGAGGTTGGAAAGAGATGCCTTGAAGCAACTCCACTTAGGGGTTTTGGTTCCTTTGTTTTCCCCTTCCAGTTCATTTACACAGATGACCAAAAAGAATATTGGGGTTAAGAAAGATGTGGGGCCTAAGACTCAGAAAACCTTTGGTAGTTCATTAAAAGAGCAGACCCTAAAATGATACTGAATACAAATTGTTTGACAATCAGACATTAAGCAGGATTTATATGTATTTTCTTACTCAGTCAGAAAAAAGGTTTGATATAGAGAGCATTCCTTTTGAGTAGGAGTTTAAAAGTTTAAAAAGACTTCATTGTCTAAGGCAATATTTAGCTAACTTACTGATCTGTGTTCCAAAAGAACTTGGCCCCTAGGGATGAGGACTCTCCTTTGGGAGAGAAAAAGCCTATCACAGCCAAGACTGAGGGCTGACAGATTTTCCTTATCAGAAAGAAAGCTGCTAGGGGATTCCACCCCATCCCCCACCCCCAGTTCAATGCCTGGGTGTATAAAGGCCCCTGCTTTCTAATACAGTGGATAGGATGCTGGACCTGGAGATCTGAGTAAAAATGTGGTCTTAGCCACTTACTAGCTGGGCAAGTTATTTAACCTCTGCCTCAGTTTCCTCCTCCATAAAGTGGGAATAATAATAGCACCTGCCTCTCAGGTTTGGAAGTCAGCTAGCAAGGGGTTGAGATGTTTGTAGGATGTGAAGAAGTAGAGGAAACCAATTTAGACAAACTTTTTCTAAGAGTTTGGCTATGAAACAGAAGAGGGATACAGCTTGAAGGGTAGAAGAATTAAGTGGATTTTTAAGGATGGAGAGGATGGGGGAATTTTCAGTAGCATAAAGGAAAGAGCCAGTGTATAAGAGACTGAATATGATGAGGGACTGATGATCATAAGCTTGCAAAGATAATGAGAGGGGATAGAGACAATGGCAAAGGAGAAAGAGTGGTTTTGACAAAAATCACTTCTTCATCAGAGACTGGAACAAAGAAAGAAAAAATGAGGGATGATGTAAAGGGTTTTAGAAGTATAAAATAGAAGAGGGCAGCTGGGTGGCACAGCAGACAGAGCACCAGCCCTGGACTCAGGAGGACCTGAGGTCAAATCTGGCCTCAGACACATAACACTTACTAGCTGTGTGACCCTGGGCAAGTCACTTAACACCATTGCCTAGCCAAAAAAAAAAAGTATAAAATAGAGAAGAAATCATGGGATCCAAATATAGATCTAGTACTAGAAGAGACTTGGAGGCTTTTGAGTCCAACACCGTTATTTTATAAATAAGAAAACTGCTGGACTTGGTGACATATACCAGCAGTCTCAGTTACCAGGGATACTGAGGCTGGTGGATCTCTTAAACTTGGGAGTTCTGAACAATAGTGGGGTTATGCCTACTGGGTGTCCATACTAAGCTCAACTTTAACCTGATGAGCCTATGGTGGGGAGGGGGAGCTACCAGGTTGCTAACAGTTCAGGTTGGAAACAGCAGATCAAAGCTCCCCTTCTGAGTAGAGTGACACCAGGCATGTAAAGGATCTCCTGCACTTCCAGCCTGGGCAAGGTAGGTAAACTGAGGCCCAAGAAATTAAGTGACTCGTAGAAGAGGAACCACCCATGGATGGCCTCTATTTTCTCAGTACAGTAGAAGGTGAAGAACTTTGACGAGAGGCAGTAAGAGGCAGCTTGAGGACACAAAAGAAATTTTGGAGCAGACTACAGGTAACAGCATAGTTGACCCGAGAAAAATAGTAAGAAGGGCTGTGAAACAGGGAAGGCTCAGGTGAGAGTAGATAGCAGACTTCTACTTGACCTAGTGAACATAGTGCAACTTCCTCCATCAGCTTTCAAAAGGACAGTATATAGCAGGAGTTAGCCAGAGTTAGGGTTCTGCAAGGCATGAATGACATAAAACGAGGGGATTCAGCTAGATATCTAAGAGCCCTTTCAAATCTATGATTTCATATTTATGTATTGTAATGTATTTATGTATGGATGTACTATGGAATAGCAACTGAAATAATTTCCAGTGTGAAAAATCTGTGACTCTTTCAGAGTCAGGAAACTTCGATCTAGGATGAAATTATGAGGAAAGATCTAGGGTGAGAGCCTGAGGTAGGAGAAAAGCATCAATGCCATCTTTCTTTGTCTATCTCAGGTCCCAGACCATCTATCAAGTCTTCATCCTTCAACCCACATGAAACTTTTACTGCTCACTTACTATCACTACCATACAACATAAAGGAGAATTTTAGTCATCCACTGCTTTGTTATCTTTGAAATGTTTGTATCTCCCTGAACAGTTTGTGAGCTCCTTAGGTCTCTTTTTATATCCTACAGTACCTAGCCAGGTCGTGGTAAGTGCTCAGCATATGCTTCTTAGATTGAATTGAACTAAACTGAAAGGGAAAGTGCCAAAGATAACATTCTCAGAATGTAGTTCACAATGTGCTTAGGGATAGCCCTGTTTGTTTCCTCCTATTGCAAATGAAATTAAATGAAACTCTAAACCAAGAAAGGGTCTCTTGGCCAGTAAGCAACCAGGAAAGTCAACAGAAGAAAGGATATTGGCGACATTAGGAAGAAACCACTAGAGGGTGAACAGCAGATTGAAGATGCTGGGACAATAAGGAGGGTAACAATGAGTCAGGATGGGCAGTGTTTGGGGGACAAAGATAAAGGAGGAGGAGGGAGGTGTGGATTCCATTCTCCCTTCTCCCTCCTCACCCCCCAGAATCTAGGGCAGAGAACCTTGGGTCAGAGAGTCAGAGTATGGGGCCAAAAACAGGGAGGATGGAGTGGTTTATGTGACAGAAAAAAAGATAGTGACTGTGTGTATAGGAGGGATGGAGGGAAGGAAGGAGAAGGAGCAGGGGAGAGGGAGAGAGGGGGAGGGAGAGAGAAAAAGAGAGAGAAAAAGAGAGAGAGAGAATGTGTGATATGTCATTGTGTCTCTCAACCCAACAGATTTCTCTGTTATGCTCATACGTGAACTTGCTGTCCTCTGGAACATTCTTTGGCTTGTCCCTGCTAAAATATACCCAAAAATGAATCTGCTTATGACCCTCTCCTCAGCTAATTCTTTCTTTGGTGAGGTAACCTGGTCTCTGAAAGGAGCTGGGGATAGGATAGGGGTGGGGGTGGGGGACAGATAAACCTGCAAAAGAAGAAAGAGTTGTGCCCTGAATCTTACCCCCCCTCCATTCATTCTCTGTGGTCTTTCTCTTCACAGCAGACATGCACCACTTTCTTACCTCAGCCCCTATGTATGGTTATTCATATAACCCCTCAACTCCACCCCCTGTGTTTTTCTTCTATGAGCTTCCTCCTCTAGTACTCATTAGGTTTTCCTGAGTACTTTCTCGGTCCGTATCTTTATGTTTTCTGCAGTATTTGACTGTTCACCATTCCTTCCCTCTTCTTTGAAATTACTTTTCATTAAGTTGCTATTTCTTGGTTCTTTTTCCTATCTGTCTGCTCACTTCTCAATCTCCTTTGCAAGATCATCAGCTTTGTCCTTCTTTATGCATAGGTGTACCCCCCTCCCTCCTGGTATCTCTTCTTTTCTTTTTTTTCACCAGGGGTTCTTAACATTTTTACATTTCATGGACCCCTTTAGATGTCTGGTGAAGCCCCCTTCTCTCTCTATCAACAAGCACTTCTTAAGTGCTTACTCTGTGGCAGGCACTGCTTAGTATCGAAAATATAGTCCCTGCCTTCAAAGAGCTCGCAATCTAACGGGGGAGACAACATTTTCAGATATGTACATCTGTAGTATACAGTGTAAATACATTATACAGAGGATGGGCATTAGCAATAGGGGTGACTAACAAAGGCCCCTTACAGAAGGTGGAATTTGAGCTGAGAATTGAAAGAAGCCAGGGAAGCCAGTAAATGGGGATAAACAGGAGAAACATTCTAGGCAGCCCTGGTAAAGGCTTTACAAGGAAGAGCAAGAAGGCCAGTGCCACTGGATTGGAGAGTGTGCAGAAGGGAGAGAGATATAAGAAGAATAGAAAGGTAGGAAGGGGTCTGGTTATGAAGGGCTTGAAAAGCCACGTGGAGGATTTTGTACTTAATTTGTAAATAACAGGGAGATCCTGGAATGGCTACTGTGAACTCCAAAAATCCATGAACCCCAATTTAGAAACTGAGTCAGCTCTAAGAAAGAGACAAATGAAATTGGGGTGAGTGTGTCCACAGTTTAATTTCTCTTAAGTTGGCTTGACATGCATTGCTTGGGAATTCAGTCCAAAGCTGGGTCTCCCTAAAGGGGCCAGTTTAGAACTGACTTGGTTTGGGAGTACAGCCTTATATGCCCTTCTAAGAGTAGGTGTTCCCAAGGGATGCCAATCAACTCTAGGAGGTGGGCCATATTAAAATGAGAGTCTTTCAGTACATGACACAGGTTACTCAATCCTGGTCAAAGAGACATCAATTTCCACATGACCTGTCTTGACAATAGGGAGGAATCAACATTCTTCTAGACATGTCTAGGCAACATAATGAACAGGAACAGACCTATTTAGATTACTAGAAGGACTAAACTTAGAAAGAAAGGGAGATGGGGAAGCTCCGAGTTTCCAAGATAATGGGTCATGGTCTAGGTCATGCCCGTGGTTACATGGGAGTCCCCCAAGGCTCTGCCCCACTTCTCTCTTGCACAATTTCACTTAGTAATCTCCTCAGCTCCCCTGGATTCAATTATCATCTCTATGCAGGTGACTTTTAGATCGATTTATCTAGTTCTAATCTCTCTCCTAACCTCCAACAAGAAAAATCATTTTTCACACTACTCAATAGTAGGATGCAACGGGGGTAAACTTTAAGATCACTCTGCTGGCTAGATCCAGTACAAATTTGTGCTAAGTAATCTCAACTTGGTCCTCACTATAGCAAGACAATCCCTTTACAACTCCCTAATATATTCACTCACACACAACACAGAGGCTTTTCCAAACCTTTTCATCTTTTCTCAAGCCTCCCACAGCTCCCAGCCACGCCAATGAGAATCTTGCCTTATGTTTCACGTTCATCTAGAGCTCCCTCTTCTCCCCTCCTCATTTCATATGGCTCAGATGATTTCCTCCACTGCCTCCTTCACTCCTGTCTCTCTGGAAGAGGTAGCCCTTCTCCTTGCCAAGGCACCACACTTCCCCACATGCCATCTTCTCCAGCAGATTGCCTTTTTAATAATCCTCACTCTCTTACTAGTCTTCAGTCTCTTCCTGTCTACTGGCTGCTTCTTTGCTGCCTACAAGCATGCTTATGTCTACTGAATCCTCAAGAAACCCTTACTTGATCATCCATCTAGCTATCATCTTATGTCTCTCCTCTCTTTTTGTGGCTAAAATTTTTAAAAGGCATCAAAAATCAGGCTCTTCATTTTCCAACTTCATCATTCAACTGAAATTGATCTTTTCAAAGTTGCCAGTGATACCCTAAATGCCAGATCTAATGGCCTTTTGTTAATCCTTATCTGATCTTGACTTCTCTGTAGCCTTTGACCTGATTAATCACTCTATTCTTCTTATACTCTCTTTTCTTGAGGTTTTCATGACATTCTCTTTTCTGGTTCTCCTCTTACCTGTCTGATGGTTCATTCTCAGTCTCATTTACTGGATCATCATCTAGGTCATGCCCATGGTTACCTGGGCGTCCCCCAAGGCTTTGTCCCACTTCTCTTGTACAATCACTTAGTAATCTTCTCAGCTCCCCTGGATTCAATTATCATCTCTATCTAGTTCTAATCTCTTTCCTAACCTCCAGTCTCATATCTTCAATTTCCTATTGGATATTTTGAATTATATAGCCTGCAGACATTTAAACTCAACACTTCCAAAACCGAATTCATTATCTTCCTCCCCACTCCCCCCCAAGCCCTCCCTTCTTCCTAACTTCATTCTCACTGTTAAGGGCACCACCATCCTCCTAGTCACCCAGGCTCAAAGCCTAAGTGTCATTCTCAACTCCTCATTTTCTCTCTCACCCCTCAGATCCAATCTATTGCTAAGTCTTGTCTATTCTACCTTTGCAATATCTCTCATATATGCTCCCTTCTCTCCTCTGACATCATCACCAACTTGATATAGGTCCTCATCACCTCAGGATATGACTGTTGCAATAACATTTTGCTTGGTTTTCCTGCTTTAATTCCCCATTCCAGCCTATCTTCCATTCTGCTATCAAAGTGTTCTTCCTAAAGTACAAGTCTGACCAGGTTACTGTCCCTCCCCCCATTTCAATAAAATCCAAGTGGTTCCCTATGACCTCCAAGAATCAAATATAAAACTCCTCTGATTGTCTTTTAAACTGTTCACAACCTAGCCCCTTTCTACTTTTTCAATCTTCTCATACCTTACTTCCCTCCATATACTCTACAATGACACTAGCCTCATTGCTATTATTCCTTTAAGACACTTCATCTCTCAACTCTGTATTTTCACGGGCTGTTTCCCAAGCCTGTAATTCTCTCTCTCCTCAATTCTACTTTTTTGCTTCCCTACCTTTAAGTCTCAGCTAAAATCCCACATTCTGCAAGAGACCTTTCCCGATGCCCTTTAATACTAGTTATCTCCAATTTATCACAAATTTATGGTTTGCATGTTGCTTCCTACGTTAGATTGTGACCTCCTTGAGAGCAGGGACTGGTTTTGCCTTTCTTTATATCCCCAGAACTTAGCACAGTGCCTGGCACATTTAATAATGGTTTGTTGACTTAATTTCACTTTGGCTGTTGAGTGGAGGATATATTTGAGTGGGAAGAGACTTGAGGTACGGAGAACAATCAGAAAGCTATTGCAATAACCCAAGTAGGTGATGAGGGCCAGAACCAGAGTGATAGCTCTGTGAGTGGAGAGAAAAGGACATATATGAGAGATTTTGTAAAGGTAAAAACAGTAAGATTTGGCAACAATTTGGATGCATCAATTGAGTATGAGAGAGGAGTTGAAGATAACATAGGGATTGGGAACATAGGTGAATGGGATGATGGCAATATCTCTGACAGTAGTATGGAAGTTGGGAAGAGGATAGGCTTTGTAGGGAAAGATAATAAACTCAGGAGGGAAGTTAAAGATGGATATACGCATTTGGGAATCATCTGCATAGAGATGATATTTTTAAATTTTTAAAATAAAAAACCAGGAGGGGCAGCTAGGTGGCGCAGTGGATACAACTCTGGCCTTGGAATCAGGGGGACCTGAATTCAAATACGACCTTAGGCACTTGACACTTACTAGCTGTGTGACCCTGGGCAAGTTACTTAACCCTGATTGCCTCACCAAAAAACAAAACAAAACAAACAACAACAACAAACAAAAAACCAGGATTACAAAGGAAACCAATTAAACTGAAATACAATTATCAAAATTAAAAAAAAAAAGT